AAATGCAGTAACAGTATCCACGTGCTATGTTTTAGTCGTATTTTGCAGTTCGGGCAAACAAATAACTAGTCGTGCTTTGTAGTGTCATATGTTTCCTTCAGAGTGTCTTCGGTTTTGAGAATCCATTTATAGTTTCTTTTGCAACCTACTATTCGGAGATGATTCAAATCCCGTATATCATTAGTCCAAATTAATTCTGATGTTTTCTTCAATATATCTTTCATTGCCCATCTATTGTTGATATAAACAGGAATTGAAACGGCATCGGCCCAGAATTCCTCACTTAGTCCAAAATACTGAAACACAGAATTAGATTTCTTAACGATAGTACGGTTGGAGCGTTCAGCTAGACCATTTTGTTCTGGTGTGTGAAAGGTTGTGATTTGATAATGAAACTCTCATTATATATGATGAAATTGGCCGATACTTGATGACAATCCGTATTCAAAAAACACTTTATTGTGAGATTTTCACTAAACATGTTCAGTGTTTCGCAAAAATTGATCAAAGTCAATCTCGCAGTAGTCTTCACCATTATCAGTGTGTAAAAATTTTATTGTCATGCTTTTCTACTAATTTTTGCAAGTTAGGAAATTAACAAAGGTTTTTCGAAAAAAAATATCTATTAATGTGAAGAAGTGTTGTGCTTCTTCAAGTAACGCTACTTCCATCGAACCAGAAAGATCGCTGTAAAAGATTTCTAAAAAAGTTTTAGCTCTTCTGCTTGTTTAATCGAATGGAAATCTGGCCTTTTCACCTTTCAGACATGCTATGCAAGATATTTAATTTTTGATATCGGTTTCTGATTCCAAACCATTTTTCAAGTTTTTCAGATCGTAGAAATTGATGTGACCCATTCTACGATGCGTCTGATTTTCCTTAGGAAAAATGTTCAGTCCATACATCATATCTACTAAAATTGCATCTGCTTACGATTTCGTTTTGTTGATTGAAAGTTTGACATATCTGATTGAATTTTTATAATTTATATCCATTAGTCGGGAGTTCAGAAACGGGCAGAATATTATTGATGTGAATGATTTCTGTCAAATCTTGAAGAAGTTTCTACTTTTCCCATACCTATTCATTTGCCTTAAATCTTTGGACATGCATGTAATTGATTAGATCGATGAATAAGATATTCTTGCATTTGATTTTCGTGATTTTTTTATCCTTCTCGGTATCAATTATACAATACTAGAGCTCTGCATGCTCTAAATATGTCGTAACATCAAATTTCCAGGTATTGTAGTTCTACCGACCCCAAAGCTTTTTTATTGACAGAATATTCTGCTCAAAGCCATTTTCCAGCAATAAACTTTGTATTTCGGGAATAACGTTTTGAGTTAACAACTTGTCAAGAACATTTTTGAAAATGTTTCGAACTCCTGAATTTTATTCCACACTTGATGTGCAATGAGAGAAAAAAAGACTTGAAACTGCATATTAAAACTCTAATATGTTTCCAATAGTAACTTCCAATCTACATAAAGAAGTACAGTAAGAAGTCGATCTAATACAGAGTGATGCTGCTTCTTTCTAATACTTTTTCTCTCTGATGACCTGTAATCTCGATAACTTTTCATAACTAACTTTTAAATACGTCATAAAGTACAGAAAAGGCAAATCGAATCAAGCAGCTGATGACCTTTTCAGAAACCATTCCAAAGTCGACTTAAATGCCTTCAAAACTCTATCCATTCAAAATACTCTAATTTAAAGAATCTATTTTGAAATTAGCTAAAGATCGTTCTGATGACTTATCAAAAGCTGTCGTCGTGAAATTGCTAAGAAGATTTAAGAAATTTTAAACTTAAAAAAAATCGTTTATTTGAAGGATATATACCGAGACGATTAATAAGACATCCTGCTCCGCTCTGCAGATATTTTTATTTCGGAAAATGATTGAAATTATGATGTGTATCAATTAAAAATCTCGTTGACTTAAATTGATATACCAGGAATTTTCAATTATTTCTCAGTTGATCTAGCCATAGCTCTACTAATCTGAAAGTTTTGAATACATTTTACTAGGATATTAAAGATATATTCGAACACTTAGGTACATTTATGGGTTTTAGTAAGTTTTGAAATGAAATCGCATCGATGTAACTTGGATAAATATGCTTTCATATTTCATAACTTTAAAAGCATAGCATACCTAGAACATTCATCATAATAGATATCTAAGTAATTCTCTACAACTTCAATAACTGGTTTTTTGTAGTAAAATTCAGTTATTTTGATGAAATGAGTACCATTACATTTATATAATATGATATTAGAATGATTCATTTATAATGTTTAATGAAACCGCGGTTTCAAGTGAGCTTTGCCAAGCTTTCAGTTCTTATGGAAGCTTCTTTAGGGCCTATAATTCATTATGTTATGGATTTTTTCTTTGAATAACATTACAAAATCATACTTACAGTAAAAATGAGTATAAAACAATGAATTGAATATATAAATTGATGAAAAGGAGTTACATGTTTAGGACTTTTTTTGTTTGACAAAGGACATACTTTCACATAAATGTCATTTTCAATGAAGCATGGTGATATGATAGGATATTCATTAATTCTAAAAAGAGATTCATTGATTGATACGATTTTCATGATTATTATGTTTTTGGTGTAGTTTCAGTAAGTTAGGTACTAGGTATATAGTTTGTTAAAATCCTCAATGTCATTTTTTTATTGATACAATCAGAAGACATAATGATTTTGACAAAAAAAGATGTTAGGAAATATTTTTCCTGAGGTTAATGTTCTGTTTTTATAGTATTATGCTAATGCAGATGATTTCTTATGGAGTTTTATATCACTTTTACTAGTATGTGATGTTATTCTATTAGTGAGAATTCTAGACGTTGTTCCAATATAATCCAAGTAACAATTGTTATAAGGAATGTTATAAATTATTAAATTTGAGTATTTTGTAGTATGCATTTCATCTTTTAATAAGGTATTCAAATTCTTTATAGTTTTAATATTTTTTTGGCATATTTTGTTCATTATAAATGTTTTTCATAATAAACGAAATACCGAAATATCCCAAAAAAAATTAAAACTATAAAGACTTCTAATACTAAATTGGAAAACGAAACGGATACTACAAAAATGTCTAATGTAATTTATAACATTTCCTGTAACAATTGTAACTTGCATTATATTAGAACAGCTTCTAGAATTCTCAATGATAGAAAAACATCAGATAAAAGTGATACTTTGAATGAATTTTATAGATACTTTCAAAGAAATTTCGATATATTCAGAAGACACTTTGAATATATATTGAAGATATTCTGAATACATAAAATATGATTCTTGAATAATATTGGAATGAAAATTTGCTGTTTGAGAAATTATGCGGTTTCATTTAGTTGAAAGAAGTATTTATTAGAATAAAAGCTTAATATAATCAATGACATCTATTCCAGTATTTTTTTCATGTGACAATTTGTTAAACCTATGACCGATAAAATGATAATTATAATATTCAACTGATTTTTTGTTGGGTAATGTTTATGAAAATTATTACAAGTTTCTGGTGTATTCATGTTCTTCAAGTATTATTTTTTGAGTATCCAACAAAAATATGTTCATATCTCATTTCCACTTCAACTTCTTAAATAGTTTTGAACATGATATGTTTTCAATCAGTTTGAGGTTTTTGAACCAACTTATGAATACTGCAGTGATTTGATCGATATTTTGATTATAGCCTTATTTGAAATTAAAATATTCACCTACTTCTCATAAGTATTGCTATAGTTATAAAGAATTAAATATTGTTTTGTTGCTGATAAAACCAAGTCTAGAATTTAGTTGGCTCATATTCTACAGTAGGTATGTAGCTCTGTATTGATTGATTTGTCTACTGTATAAGTTATTGAGCAGTGTTAATGACAATTTTTTATAAATTTTCTCACCTAAATCATGTACTTTTACCGATGTCATATCGTTATTCAATATTATTTATCACTATTATTTCCATACGATAACATTTAATATAACAACTGCAATTTCAACCCATAATATAGCAGACATCTACTGAAATTACTCAAATTGAAAGTTTCTTGACTGCAAAAAATTCATAAACAATTTTTCAAAAAACTGAAAAAGGAATTGATGAAAATTGAATTCGCCAGAAGAGAAAGAGCTGCTGAGTTTATTTTCATAAAAAATGTATCTGACTCTTGAATTAAAAAAAAAGTATAAAATTTTCATAACTGCTATATTTTTATAGAACTATCCATTTTTCAAATAACTGAAAAAGGAATTGATGAAAATTTAATGCGCCAGAAGTGAAAGAGCTGCTGAGTTAATTTTTATAAAAAATGTATCTGACTCTTCAATTGACAGAAAAAAGTATAAAATCGTTTTCATAACTGCTATATTTTCATAGAACTATCCACAAAATATAAATAGTTCACTAGAAAGGTATTTTATCTGAAGAAAATATTAATGACTTTGGAAGGACTCC